GGACTGATATTGCAGACCTCAGATCTCAGATTTGGTACCTCTTTTTGGTGGGAACAAGGGAACGAGTTGCCAAGGTCAACCTTTGGACAGGGAGGTAGGCAGCGGTACGTGGGCCCGCCGAGCGTCTAGCCTTCCGTGGGCTTCCAGTCATCACTGCCGGCTTGGGAAACAGCCCCTCCCCTCATTGGCAGGGTGCGTGTGTGTGTTCACATTTGAGGCCAACAGGAGCCATTTAAAGCCTGATAACTGATCATATACAATCATAAGAAGGAGCGTTAGTCTCCCTTGAGCCTTGTAGAATTCAGAGCCTTGCAAATCAGCAGCTGTAAGTCACAGAAAACACAACTGTGAAAACACAGGACTGTGTGTTAGGGGAGCCATCGCCAGGAATCTCTGGGATGCCGATGCGAGAGACGCCGAGATGAACTCAACGGGGGAGATGCCAATGTCTATTTCAAACACTCCGGGAAATTTAATAATGAATTTTTTATATATATATAATTTATAAAATGTTTCCTAAATAAAAATATACAGGAAAATATTGGATGCATCCTTAACACGGTCAACCCTTCTGGGAGAGTGACGGAGCAACAGCTGATTGTTTTATCTTACTCGGCAAAGATCAGACTCATGGTAATCTCTTTCCTGCCCACTTTTTACTAACCTAAAGCAAAACAATGTTTCCCATGGCTTTTGCATTCATTTTTCCCGTGTTCTAGCTTCCCCAAGCCCTAAATGTGTGCAGAAGTCACTTGGGAACAGAAGAGGACCAGCTGCTTTGACACTGGGCAGGGCAGTACTGGGGGCTGGGGAGAGGGAAGGCAAGGGTCACTTTCGCTGGGGTTCACTGTCACCTGCCAGCACGCTGCCAGTGGGTTCTGTGACTGGCCTGCAGCAACAGAGAAGGTCCCTGTCAAGGATCTTCCATCTCCTAATTTGAGAAAACACTTAGAACTAGATCAGCTTCCTCGGAAATCCAGATTCCGAGGGCTCAATAACTGTACTGAATTTCTGTTGTGCTCAAGAGCACTGCGAAGAGTACTTGATACAGTGTTTAGTTAAAATTTCTGTCTCAGCACCTTCCACTGCCAGGAGCAGTCACGTTCCTGATACATTTTAGCACAGGAACTCTAGAAGCCCAATGTGAAACTGTAAACAAGGGTGTATGTCTAGGTCTACTTCTGACCACAATGGCAACTAAATGGACTTGTTGACTTCCACTTGATACCAGTAAGGTGTACCGAGGTGTAAAATTCCCAACGCCCTGAACTTTTTGAATGAAAATGGACAAAGGTGTAGAGTTGTATTCGTTTTCTTTGACTTTATTAGCACACATCAGAAAAAAATAGCATTGTATTGAGTGATTTCTCGTAACGGTCTATCAAACAGATAGAAAAGAGACCATTGATAGCTGCCACTGTGTTCTGGGTCATCTGGTCACTCCCTCCATTGATTCATTTCAAGTATGGGTATTACAAACAGGACCTGCTGGGTTAATTGTTTGTGAATCTGAATGCTTTGGAAGCACTTTGAGATCCCAAAATGAACTTGCAAAGTCATTATAGGTTGTCGTTGGTTTTTAATCAAGCTCTAAATACTGCCCATGTTATACATGATGAGACTTTTCAAAATATGATCACTATTGTATTGTGAGCCATATGCCTACCATGTAAATTAAAAACTTTATTTTCAAGTACACTTTGTGGTGATAAGTGGTTTATCCTGGGTAGAATTTGACAAAGCTGTGCCAACCTAAAAGAGGAACTATGCTTTCGCTTTCATTGAAGAGGTCCCCCCCACCCAGGTGACTGCAATATACTTGAAATTTGCATTTTAGAAATGCTGGTTGGGTTATGGAAAAGGGAGATTCGGGAGCAGCTGGTGTTCAGATCACTGTTACTCCAGATTAACTTGCAATTCCTGCTTCCTGAATTTGAGCTTCACAAAGTCAGAGAGGCCGTTGTTTTTTGTTATCTTTACCCTGCTAGCTCCCTTTCAGCTCTCCGATTTATTTTCTCTTTTTGATGGCACACCCCCCCCCCTTTTCATATGCTCATTTAAGTCCCCTGAGATGTACAAAATATACAAAATGGAATACAAACTAACAGAAGTTGTGAATACATAGCACAGCTCTTTCCATCCAAGTGATATTTGGGCTCAATATGGTAGCATGTGAGTGAAGGCAGAGAGGACCAAAGTGCTTCTAAGTTGGCAGTCCAAATTTCCTGTGTCTTCTGTTACTGAAAACCTAGAATTCAAATTAGATTTTCATAGGAGCAAACAGCTTGCTACGGGATGTTTACCAATGGGCTCTTTGCCAGTGGGAACTTTTAGCAGGCGTGGGGGTGGGGGTGGGGAAGATTTAAACTTCCCATCATTCATAACAAAATCAAGCGCGCGTTTGTGGGGAAGAGAGGAGAGACAGGTTTACATCTGACAGTGAAACAATGCCATAAAAGAAAACCACGGCGATGACGAAGTCATGAGTCCACGCAGGCAATCACTGACACACACGCAGAACGCCACGGCCGAATGACGCGCAAGTTTCGAATTTCGCTTTTCTGAACAACAACACACTTGAACGCACTGCCGCCGCTTCATCAAATTTATGGAGGTAGTTATATGTAAAAATAAAAATTACCATAAAGTAATATGCTGTATCATAATAATACATAAGTGTGCAAAATGCCGACAGATGGGTTGACCCTTTAAAGTTGAACGCTACACAGAGATTCAACCAGATTCAATTCTGTAAACCTTTCCGTTGATAAACTCTAGGTGAAGGCTACATAAGCAGCCACGGGACACAACGCTATCATTTCACTGGGGGACGAGGGTGTGGGCGAAGCTGGGAGCCGCCGAGGGTCCGGTCACTGAGAACCATCCTGGGTGGGTCACATCTGTCATGTGCTTCCTGCCACCCTCCTCCCCCATTCAGGAATCCCGAATAGATCAGATGAGGCTATTTCTACAGTGAACATCTGCTTACATCATATCACCTTTAAAGCCCCTCATTCATTTCTATGCTAATGGCCACTGGTGTGAGGGAATTCTTTTTTTTGTTTGTTTTCTGTTTTTAAATCATGTACCCTATAGCATCAGGCAAAAAAGTATACACATTTTATTTGAATGATGTCTTCTGTAAACCTATTTCTCGTGAAATATTGATAAATTCATATCTGAAAACTTCTAAAGGTAATGCCTTCCTTTCCTGTTCACATGGAATTTGATTATTATAATGGCTACTTTCAGAGGATCAACCAGAGGCGGATGGACTGTTTCAATGGTTGTATTATTTATGAAATGATAGTATGATAAACACTTGAGAGCAGGGTTTTGGAGGGAAAAATTTAGAGAGAAGAATTTAGTAACTGTATGGTATACAACTCCCCAAGGAAACAGACTCTGTGTGTAGTCTCTTAGATGCATTATCACTCCTTCTGGGCACATTTGAGCAGCGAGGCCAATAGTGCATTTCTGAGTGACCACGGCAGGCCTGGGAGGAGACGGCGCGACACTGAAAGCCACCTGACTGAAGCATGTTAGTGGTGTGGGAGCAGACCAAGAAATGCACTTATGTTTCACTCGAAACACAGAAAAGGAAACTATACTGAACTTGATGCGCCCAGTTCCCGGTGCAACTCCCAAATATCTGAGGACGCAGGAGGGAGCGCCCACATGTTTCAAGAATCAGCTGGGCCATGTCCACGACTGCATTCTTTCAACAGGTGGCCCGGGATTAAACCTAACACTGGAGAGGAGTGTCACCAATGTCATGCCATTGGCTGAAGTCTGAATAGAAAATATTTTAGATTTATTTTTGGATACCTATGTATGGTCTACGGCTCCAAACTTCAAATGCCACTACGCACAACAAACTTTTTATCAGACCCTTTACTCATATCATAAGTAACCGTCTGCAAATAATTTTCTGTGATCAACAGATGTGTTCCATTGTTCTCATGAAATAATACACGGGGACTTTGATAAGTCTCTTTCCTCGAAGGCTGAAGCTGGGTAATTCTGATCCCTTTGCTGCGACCGACTTTTTTTGTGTTCAACATGACATAGTAAACCAAAGCCAAATGTTAACCATTTTGGCATAAGTTGGGCTAATAACCATACATCCACCTAAAAATGCCTCCTGAAATCAGTCACCAAGTATCTGTAAACATCACTCTGGCATAGTTCATGTATGCATAATTGTTATTCTGATCGATTTTAGGGGAGTACAAGTTAGAATTATACCACACCTGCAGAATGAGCACATTCTGTTGCTAATTACATGGGTACATGTATATTTTTGATCAAAAATTACTTTTAAGTTTTCTCTATAGATATCTTCCCAGGAATGAAAGGCCTAAAGTTCAACTTTCCCTAAATCTGCTCTTTCCTATAACCACTAAAAATGATCTCCCACAGCCTAATTTAGGCATTCTATTTAAAACTACATAAAATAGATTTATGTCCTTCCATTAGAAAGAATAACATCCCCAGGCCATACTCTTCATTTGTATCACAAAGAACATTTTGCTTTTAAACAAACTAATTATCATATCTATTATAGTCAGATAGGATCATAAGTATCCCAAAGAGGAAATGATCTTCCTTACATACTGGACTCACACCTTTTACAAGTCCACAAGACCTCTCCCATCACTGAGTGCTGTGTCCCAGCCAGGCTGGGGACCCCTTCCTTTTTATCCACTTTAGATTCAAAGGCCTATATTCCTGTTTGTGATTGTGGAAGGTTAAAACTCAGACAAGCATCTGTGACACTTAGAAACAAAATCCTGAAAACAAACACTCCCAGTATTTCAATCCCGACCCCTTCGGACACACTTCCACGGGCTCCTGCAAAATCGCGCCACGAAAACTCACAGTGAAAAATGACGGGTGCATCAACAATTCACACACAAAGGGCTGGGGTCCCTTCTCGGCTGTTTGGCATTGATTTCCCTCACGGTGGGCCCTTGCCTTTGACATTTTGTGGTGGCTTAGTTTTGTTTTTGTTTTTTGTTTTTTTGGGAAGTGTCAAGAATCAGTTCTGTGGCACCATCTGCCCACAGACTGGGAGCAACACACACCTGTGGCATTTAAAGTGGAATTGGCAACTGTATGACATTGAAAATGCATATTACACTTACAGTGTCTAGACTTTCCTATGTGTGCTCAGTTACAGTTAGTGAAGCAAAAGTGTACATATCACCCCTACTGCTATTCTGTTGCTACAGAGCCATAAATGTGAAAAGCAATACTCTGAAAGAAAGACTTTTGTGTTTTGCTCTAGCCTACTTAGCAGCACAGTTTAAGTAAACACAAAAACTGTGGTTGAGATGCTTGTCTTTCCAAAGATGTAAACATCAGTCCCAGTGTCGTAAACTTGGCTGTATCGAACGAGACAGGAGATCTGAGGCAGAACGACTATCACACACTAGTCACAGAAGCTTGCAAGCAGTTGGAAGGTTTCTGTAATTTTTCAGCTTCATTGGTTGGGGGGTCCGTACTCGCTCGGAAGTTGAAGGCCGGGCCAGCTCCACCGTGGGCCGGGCTCAAGGCAGGGTTCTGACGACGGTTACTTTCAACAATGCTTGACGTGTTGGAAGCCAGGCTCTCCCGAGTGCTAAAAGAGTAAAAAGGTTTTGTTTTGTTTTGTTTCGAACATAAATAATTATATAGTGAGTTCCAGAGGAAGAGCAAATGATGTAGTTAATGGATTTCCTCTGTCGGCTCGGAATGCCCCACACAGACCCTCTCGCACTGACTGTTTACACGTGACCCTCCGACGGGGCTGCAGAAGCGCACGGACATGCACCCAGCAGCACTGCGTGCCTTGAAGGTGCTCCCCTCCGGCCCCACTCAGGGAAACCACCGCAAACCTGCATGCCATCCACAGCTATCGCATCACTTTTTACAAATACTCATAAATATACATCTGTAATGACTTCATTTCAGGCTGGAAATTCATTGATATGACTGTTCCCTAGTAAACTCAATAACTATACTCTAATGATTCTGTTCTCATTCTTGATTAGCAGATTTTGACTTTGGTGGACTTCAAGCATGCCATTGGCTAATCTGCCACAATGCTGGAAATACAATTCTTTTTAGACATCTTCCTACCTACCTGTTTCAAATGTGAACGCTTTAGTGAAAATACGTTATATTTTCAGATGAGGAATCTTAGATGTTACCCATTCACTTGTGAAGTTTACATGTATCCGCCACCCCCACCCCCACACACATACACACTTTGGTAGGAATATTTATATTTTAAAAGATTCTTAGAGAGTAGAGGTGACTTAAAGACCTTAGTATTTTGATTTCTCTTAATTTTTCTAAGTTAGCAATACTGGAATCTAGTTCAAGAGATTTAGAACATTTATAATTTCAGATGTGGGGGCAACAGCAGAAATAAGATTCCCTGGCCTGATCCATGGGAACTGAATGGGTTTCATGTCCAAGGTCCTCAAAATGGGAATAAGAAACTTACCAGCATACGAAGAGACTGAAGAAACCATAATGATGCTCTAAACACCCATCCTATTGGATAGATTCAAAGTTTACACACTGGGTGAGAGCGGTCCCCCTAACTGACTTAAGCCTGCTGGAGCCAGTCGAAGTACTATGGTGGACATCCTCACTGCCTCTCGATCTCATCCAACACCGACGGCAATTCTGTCTGAACCCTAGACCCTGGCGGCCCTTACTAACAGGTCATTTCATCCTAACCCCTTGCGGCCTTGAGTTTGCTTCTCATCAAGGAGCCAAGAATGAATTTTTCAAAAGAAAAGGCATTCATCAACTACCAAAAAGACAACTGGACATTTCTTGACCACAGAGGGCACCTCCAGAAGGTTAATATATTTACAGAAATAAGTCACGTTCTCCCATGATGCCTATGGTAACCCTGGGCATACCTAAAGTATACTCAGTACAACATGACTACAGGGATGGAACGTGCCAGACTTATGTACTTACCTGCCTGACCTCTTCCCTAAGAAAACTCGTCAGTGGCTTGCCAGCCCCACAGCTGAGGCATAGGTGAGGTGAAGAAAGGAAGAAAGGAAATAAACATGTATACCCCACAGACTTCATGACACAGTCCCTCCGGTTTCATTCTTAATCATGAAAATACTTCTACCTTCCACCCCCGTATCTAACTTCCTTCATTTTTAAAATCAGAAGAGTTACAGGATTTAGCTACTCACAGAGTGACTGTGATAAAGGAACACGCGTTGATGAAGAATCTGTACATGGCAAAGCTAGACAAATGTAAATTATTTCTGTTTTGCATCTGGCAGGTAATGCATGAAATAGCTACTGTGGGTTGGTTTGGGGATCTATTCATTACTAATGACATCCTTTTCTACGGGAAAATTCATTTGAAGGTCCAATGAACCCACTTTTAAACCATCTTTTAAGGAATGGGCTTCACGTACCTGTTGTGTGCCAGGCACTGTGTCAGGCACACACACCTCATTGTGACGGACCATCGATGCTGGTAGCTGTCTGTGCTCTGAGATGCTGTTGCCATGGCCAACATATTAACCGTGATCCATACATACAGTACTCCCATTTCTCCAAAGGACACAATTCACTATTGCTGTAATAAGTATAGTGTGTGTGACATTCACACTGAGGGCTCTGGATATGAAGATGAAAAATTAACGGAGATGGAGTGTTCACCGTAAAAATATCCCTCAAATGTAAACGTTCTTACTTTCGAAATAAGAGAACTAATGGGGTGTCACCTTAAACGCAGATCTCGGGTTCTACAGGCAGGAGACCTGAGCCCAGCTGCTGTGCTGTCCGCCCTCCTGGGCACCTTTCTGTGCGGCACACGGCACCTTAGGCAGACACATCCCTGGCAGTCCTTGGTCCCTCTGGTTTTCACATCATGCTTGACCACAAGGTTTGGGGCCTCAGATTTGGAACAGCAGGCTTTTACGCCAAACCATTTCACTTTCAGTATTGTATTTATGGCTAGCTTATGATTCCACCTTTTCCTCCTCAGTACCCTTGAAGGCCCCAACAGCAGGGACTGAGTTCTGCGAATGGGACCGAACATGACCTGAGCCAGCACTGGAAGCTGACTGTGGTGATCACCAATACTGGTCTTTTGTTCTTTCCAGTCGAATCTTAGCTACTCAGTGAATTATTTCCTAAAAGACCCAAATAAATGACCCACCTAAGATTTCTGTATCTCACCACAGTGGGGAGGTATCGGTATGATAATGCTATTTGGCTAACATACTCCTCACACTAGCAGGTAGAACTTCCTGGAACTCAAATATTCCCCTTTGTAGACTGTCCTCACGCATTAATTAGAAAGGCAGCCTAGTGATTTACTGAGGTGTACAGAGAAGACAGTGTAAGAACAGAGGAAGTAAGTTTGTCATCTAGCCAGTGGATATTAACTATGAAAGGGATACCAGAAGGAACTGCCATGTAGATTCTCTAACAGCATGAAATGTATGGGTGAGCTACATATTCCCACAGGGAACATTTTACCTAATAGTGGACAGACACCTAGCTAATTGGTAAAACTGTCTCCTCTTCGGTACAGCCTTTACCTTCTAGCGTGACAAAGCATTTAAAGAAATGCAAATACACCTATTTCAAGAAATAATCCTATTCATAAATTCTATCTTCTGCAACCCACATGCAGAGATAAGATACATTCAGTGGAGAAACGGGTTCAACTATTTCATTAATACAGGGTGTCCCCCAAAAAAGTACATACATTTTGAATAATTATAAAGCCAGTGTTTATTAAAATATACTTCATTTGCAAAATGTAATAGAATCTACAAATACCCTGTATACATCTTTGTTTTGGGACACCCTGTATTTCTTTCTTTGCCCCTAAACAAACAAAAACATTAAGCTACTGTCAATGTCTCCTCGGCAACTGTCTCTGGAGCACTAAGGCTTCCCCTCAGTGGAGGTTCAGGGGCCAAGGGCAACGTGAAGGGTTGAAACTGCTGTGTGAACAGCAGTGTTCGGTGGGTAGAGTCCCAAAAAGAAACAGCAGAATATAAGGTACGGGCAAATGAACCATACCTTCCATTAGCCATGGTTTTGAACTTGTACCATCAATTACAGACCTTCCATGAGACATTAGACATTCAAGAGGAGAAAAAAGAGTAGACGAGCCCTGGCCGGTTTGGCTCAGCGGTTGGAGCATCGGCCTGTGGTCCGGAGAGACCCGGGTTCGGTTCCCGCTAAGGGCACGTACCTTGGTTGCAGTTTGTCCCCGGCCCTGGTCGGTTGTGTGGGTGGCAGCCACTCGATGTGTTCCTTTCGCATCGATGTTTTTCTCTCTCTCTCTCTCTCTCTGTTCCTCTCTCTCCTTCCCACTCTACCTGAACAAAAAATGGAAAAATGTCCTCCGGTGAGGATAAAAAAAAAAAAGAGTAGAAGAAAGAAACAGAAAGAAAAGGATATACAAAATAACTGGTAGATAAATTATGACTTGATTTGGAAAATATTAAGCAAAAGTTATTGCTTAGAAAAATCACTTAATAGGCCAGTTGTTTTCAGACGGAATGCCATGCTCCTGGAGGTCCCCAGGGCTCCTCCAGAGATGGGCGGCAGACCTGGGACCCCTGGTCTCTCACCCACTGCGCTCTATTTATGTACTGGACTTTCACATGTGTTAGCTGGGAAGAAAAGGTTACAGGACAATGATGATGATGATGATGATGATGATGACAATTGAGAACTAGTCCTATAAGAAACAACAAAGGCCTGATATGTGACAAACAAATGAACGATTCCCAATTCTAATTCTGGGATGCTCTGTCCCCAGATTATCTAGAGAGACAGTGAAATGATCACAAGAGAACTAATCACAATTCTTAATAATGAAAAGAAATAGATGAAACACATAACCGTATCTGGATACTTGTTAAAATGATAAATATTGTAAAATCTTGGGAATCACAGCTAATGAGAAATGTCAATCTCTCCATAGTATTTCTGCATCTCAGAGTCACCAATCTGGAGTAGAATTCAGAAGGAGCATGAGGTCCCGAGTTGCTTTTTGAGGAGAAGGAAGAGTTAAGGAGAAAAAAAAGGGAAGTTGCATAGACTCTCTGAACCCCTGAACCACTTCAGTGCGCTGGACATGACCACCGAGCATTTCATACTTTCAACTGTCCACCCTTCACTGAGTCACCAGCACCCACTAAAAACAAGGGACTCCGATGACAGGACCCTGATTGGGCCGTATCAGTTCTGCAGGAGGAAGGACAGTGCTGACCCGGCTTCGAGCTCAGCGAGCAGGGGCCCCAAGCTTTCTGTGAGCAGAACAAGGTCCATTTCTCTGTAGACATGTGAGTGGGGACAGGAAGCTGAGCAGGGCAGGCCCAGCCACACAGACACTCGGGGTGAAAATGGCAACAAGCTTCTAGATCCACTGGAAAGGTTTCGAGATCTGCTTTTACAGTTGACCCTTGAACAACACAGGGGGGAGGGGTGTTAACCACCCTGCACAGTTGAAAATACACGTACAACTTTTGACTCCCCCAAAACGGCACTACTAATAGCCTACTGTTAACGGGAAGCACTACCTATAACGGAGACAATCAATTAAAACAGAGTTTGTATCATGTATTATATGCTGTATTCTTACAATAAAGTCAGCTAGAGAAAAGAAAATGTCATGAAGAATATCCTAAGGAAAATATATTTACAGTATTTATGAAAAAAAATCTGCCATTAATTGACCCACACAGTTCAAACCTGTGCTGTTCAAGAGTCAACTATATGCCCTGGCCGGTTTGGTCAGCGGTTAGAGCGTCGGCCTGCGGTCCAGAGAGACCCAGGTTCGGTTCCCGCTAAGGGCATATACTCCGGTTGCAGTTTGTCCCCGGCCCTGGTTGGGTCGTGCGGGTGGCAGCCACTTGATGTGTCCCTTTCACGTCGATGTTTCTCTCTCTCTCTCCCCCTCCCGCTCTGTCCGAATAAAAAATGGAAAAATGTTCTTGGGTGAGAAAAAAAAAAAGAGTCAACTGTATATTCTCATTAGAGGGACCCCATCCTTGGGACAATCAGTTTATTCCCAACTCCTTTCCCCAACTCCTACTATCATTCTACTCAATTTTTGAAGGACTTAAAAAAAAAACAAAAAAACACGTTTCTTTATCTTCATGGTGGCAATATAAACATAGAAGAAAAAATACTGGGGAATGTTGGTCTGAGTTAGATTGGACTGAGGCAAGTTTGAGGGAAGGAGCCAACCCACCAGTCCAGATTGGTGATCTCTACAGCTGCAGAAACATTGTTTCAATTCCTGAAAAAGAAGTCAGAAACAGGTTATTAACAATACAACTCACACAACTCTTCACCCTCATTCACAGAACTGAGACAGTGAAACCAGAAGCGTTTCAAGTTATTCTGCATAAAGCCCCGGGCCCCGGTAGGTGTATGCGTGTGCAGAGATGCCTCTCCCTACCGTGGAGAGTTGAATCCACTGTCCACAGTGATGCTGCTGCTGTCCATGCTGTCCAGGCGGGCCGAGTGGGTGGTTCTCTGGTGGCTGCTGCTCTCAGTTTCTTTTGGGGCAAGGAGGGTGAGGTTCTTCTCAAATTTCCTCTGCAAGTCTCTTTCCTTCTCCCTCTCCAGGAGCCACTGCATGGTGCCGACATCATCTCTGTTCTTCTCCTCCTCGGTGTTTTTGTTTGCCCCTTCCTCAGAGTCGTCGTCATCGGAGACGTTGTAATAGTCAAAAGAGGCTTCCTGGTTGCCGCCGGCCTCCTGCTGGCGCTGGAGGGCCGGCATCCCTTGTGCCGCCGAGGTCCCCAGGGAGGGCTCCAGTTTCTCGCATCGACCTGGCAGTGTGTCTGCAGGTGACTTCGGGTGAGATTTGAGGAGGGACAGGCTGGATTTGTGGTAGCTGTTTACAGACAAGGTGCTGTGAAGAGGTTTGAACAGTGTGTCTTTGCTGAATATCTCTTTCCTCTTGTCCAGGCTGCCGGGCTCCGCGCCGTGATGCTGAGTGAGGCGTCCATTGGCCATCCCTTCAGCCGCTGAGCCCGAAGCAGCGGGGTTCCCCCCTGACCCTTTGGGCGACTCCTCCTTGTGCCCTCCAGGCTCCCTGGAGGAATGCGGGGCCTGCCTATCAGACAGAGGCAGCTTTTTCACCCCTTCGGCCAGGGTCAGAGTGTCATGGTCCTCTTTATTCTTCCCCAGAGGCGACGGCGCCGTGAGCACCGTCTCGCTGGAGGTGTTGCACTGGAAGTAGTCATCGGCCGCTGCCTTTGCTGGACAAGAGCCGAGTTCCCCATAGGGCGGCAGACTCTCCGGGGCTTTGCCTGGCGTCAAGAGGCTACAAGCGCTGGAAGGCTCCTTGCTGCCGCTGACCATTTCTGGAATACACACCTCTTTATAGCTTGTGGACAAAAGGTGAGCCCTTTGATGACCGGCAGGCTGCGTGGGCCTCAGAGTACTGTCGTCGATGTAGGACTGGATGGGGGTTTGGTCATCCTGGCTGCAGCCTTCCACCAGGTCATCAGGCGTCCCCAGAGAGGAAGCACCCAGAAGGCCTTTGGAGTTGTCCATGGACCTGGACCTCTCCTTGGCCTTGTTGGACCTCTCGTTCCTGGACCGTCGGTCCTGGGTATGGCTGTGGCTTCGGTGCACTTTTGAGTGGGAGCTCCCCCTGGAAGGTTCAGGAAAAGGCATCTCAGTTCTCCTTTTGGCCAGTTCCCCCGACACATCCCACTCGGGCGTCATGGGGAAATGGGGCTCAAGCACATTCGTGTTGCTGTGCATAATGAAGTTCTCCCCTTTGTGCTCGATGATGAAGCAGCCCTCCCGAGGGGCCCTGGTAAGAGGGTCACAGAAGTCGTACTCCCGGTCACCTGGGAGATCCAGATGAGAGCCATCCGATGGGTCTCCCTTGGAGACTCGAGTCTTGCTGTGCGACCGAGACTTCCCGTGGGACTTGCGATGAGTCCTGCTCTTTTTACTTCTCCCGCTGTGATGGGCGGAGGACCCAGCCTTACTCCTGTGCGCCTTTTCTTCTTCAAGTTTCTTCATCAGTGCAGTGTGCCTCATGACATTTTCCACCGTCAGGTCGGGGTTGATGCGCCGGATGATCTCCATCTCCACTTCCCGGGGGATAGTCGTCGGCGTGTCCTCGTCCCGCAGGGGCCACTCTTCGGGGGGAAACTGGGCGGAGAAATTGGCTAGCTGTTTGGTCTTATCTTTTTTAAAACTGAGCCGGAATAACTTGAGCCCAAATTTTTTGGACTGTTTCTCACTGTCTTTCGGTTTGGAGAGGGTTTCCGTCTTGTAAGAAAAATTGACGGTACTTTTGCTCTTCTCAGTGGGCGGCACCTGGCAGAGTGAAGGAGGGCAGTGTGGGTCTTTGCAGTCCTTGGCAGGTTTCCTCTGCAGGGTTGACGCGTGCACGCTGTGCACGTCCTCCCTGCAGCAGTGACAAGAGTCGCAGTGGTTTCTGGGCAAGGTCCTTTCCCTGACGCAGCCTGAGGCAGAGGGCGTGATGGTTCCGGGCTGTGGAGAGGTACACTGAGACCGGTCAGGTATCCTCTCGTCCAAATGGTACCATTTACTGTTAGTTCTTATGAGGGAAGGAGTTATGAAATAAGTCTGCGGGGTCACGATGAAATAGCCATCTGGAGTTGGGTAGATTTTCCTCTCCCGCACCAGCGTGTTCAAGGTGTGCCGCAGAATCTCTTGGCTTGGGGTGGGGACACCTAAACGCAAGAGAACACACTCATGAGAATGGAGAGGAACACTGTTGTGGATTCCCGATTTTTTAGAATCTGCGGTGGTCTGAAGGCTTGTGTTCCCCTCCCCCAAAGATTCAGCTAGTCAAGCCCCAACCCTCCCTATGATGGTATTAGGAGGGGGAACCTTAGGTTTAGATGAGGTCATGAGGGTAGAGGCCTCATGCTGTGACATTATGGGAAGGAGACCAGAGCCCCTCCCCCTCTGCAATGCGAGGAGACGGCTGCTACAAACCAGGAGGCTCCGCACTAGACGCCAACTGTACAGGTGCCCTGAACTTGGCTGACTTTACAGCCCCCAGAATTGTGAGAAATAAATGTCTGTTGTTGAAGCCACCCCGTCTGTGGTACTTTGTTACAGCAGTGAAACTAAGACAAAATCCTATCAATGTGGCCAAGCTTCAAAGTGTTATCATATAGCAAGGAAACCACATTCAAAAGTCATTAAGTTTAGTGGGAACCCTGGTTTTCTCTGATGGCTCTTAGGAGTATTACCACCAATAACATATAAAATAGAAGAGCTGGGAAGAGAGAGAAGGATGTTAGATAAGGTTCGGTTGTTACTGTTGTTATAAACCTTTACTGAACTGAATCATTAAAGACCATTGTTTTTTTTTTTTAATCCTCAGCCGAGGACATTTTTGCATTTACCTTCAGATAGAGCAGGAGGGAGAGAGCGGAGGAAGAGACAGAGAGAAATATCCATGTGAGAGAGACACGTCGACTGGCTGCCACCCACATGACCCCAACCGGGGCCAGGGACAAACTGCAACCGAGGTACATGCCCTTAGTGGGAACCGAACCCTGGCCTCTCTGGTCCGTGGGCCGGCACTCTAACAGCTGAGCCAAACTGGCCAGGGCAAAGACAGAATATTTTTAAATGAGGAGAGAAATGAACAATGTTTTACATGATATAAATGAACAAAAAAAAAGACTTTTTCAATAAAAGCAACTAGGGAAACAGGGTTGAAATAGCCATCTTGGTACTGAAAAACAAATTTAAAATATATAGAGGCTTCCGTGTATACTATATGGGGGCACTCTATACATGTTTTAAAGATTAAGTTTACTCAATACACTGAATTTTATAAATTCTATACAAGGGCAACCGGACTTGACCGTTGTTTATGGTGCAGTACTCTCCAGTTTTCAAACCATCGCCTTCAGTGTTGAGCGTGATTAGGGCCCTGGTGGGAGTCAGGTCAGATCCTCCTTCTTCTCGGCACAAGTCAGCAGGACAGAGATGGCTTTCCTAATTTGTGACCAGAGAGCCCCAAGGAATACACTTGTGAAAGCCCAGACCTACGTCTGTCTAATCACTGGTTCGAAACTGCTATATTTGCTACATAGAAATTTCAGAAGGCAATCACAGATGCTCCTTGGTACAGTAACTGGTCCTGTTTTCAAAGGGTTTGTGTGCACGTGTATGCCCTGTGAAACTCGAGAGAGAATCAGGGGTACCCACACTTAAGAAAGTATAAATTCTCCGGGCTGCAGTGATTTACTTTGTTTCTTAGGTGTTCTCCATTCCTCCTTGCCAGGCACACTGAGGGGATGACACTCACAAGACTGACACGAATGACACCATCACGCGTCACTTAACTACAGGGACGCATTCTGAGCGACGCACTTACATCACCGAGTCACTCACACAAACCAAGGCGGTGCCGCCTACTGTCCGCCTAGGCTCCGTGCTGTGTGGCCTACTGTTCCTGGGCTCTCAGCCTGCACCGCATGTACTGTACTGAACACTGCAGACGACTGTGACCCCCGGATAATATTTGGCGAAACAGAGAGGAGGTACAGTAAAATGTGGTACAAAAGATTAAGAAATGGGGAGGAGGTCGGGGGACTGGGTGAAAGGCAGCAGGGGGTTGGGGGAAGAGGTGAAAAGTGACGGGATTAAGAACAGTCACGGGGACATAAAGGACAGCCCAGGGAATACAGTCCACAGAGTTGTAACAAAACCCCGTATGGTGTCAGAGGGGTACTGAATTTACCGGGGTGATCAGTTATATAATGTCCAATATATAATGTCCAATCACTGGGTTACACATCTGAAACTAATGTAATATTGTATGTCAACTGTAACTGAAAAATAAAGTTATTGTTTAAAAAAACTGGCCACCTGTTTAGGGCACTTAGCATGAATGGGGCCTGCAGGACTCAAGGCTGCTCTGGGTAAGTCAGGGGTGGGCGGTGAGGGGAGGTGAGGCCAGGACGTGACTGTGAGCCACTACAGACTTTTCGAACTGCCCTACGAGCCCGCTCCCTGCTTCCTCCCAGCGGGGTCAGAAAGAGAACACGGAGCTGTCCATGCTGCCCCACGAGCAGGGGCGGGCTGGACGGACTGGAAACATCGAGAAGCTGGCTGGGCAGGGCGGAGATCAGCGACATGGCGACACTCGGGAGGGAGGGAGAGGTGGTCTGAGGATCAGCGGAAACAGGACGCCAGAGGGAGAGATCAAGGACCCACGGGGCTCGTCATGACCACGTGGTTTGGCTATGACACGCTGCAGCGTGGTCAGATGAGGAACTTTGTGGCAGTCATAAAAAGAGTGTGTCTACCATGAAGAGTGCAGATCTGAGGACCTGGTATTGGACTTTGGAAATTTGTTTTTGGTTCCACGGACCCCACCTGGCACCAAGGGCCCTCTCTGGCACTGACCTGATGGAAGAAAGAAAACGTACCTATGCTTTCCATCATCACACCCGAAACTATCTCCAAGGCCAGGGACAGGCTGGCTCCATGCCCCCAGAGAGCTTTCATAAAGTGAGTGGCACTTGATACCTGTCTCAGTAGCTTCCATGGGCCTGTGTCCCTGCCCGGGACTCAGGTCCTCAACAAGGAAACGACAGAATGTTCTCTGAAGCCCGTCCGCCTAGGTCTGGGAGGACCGTAGCCTCTGAGCACGTAGCACTAGGGGGCCGGGCTCCTTGGTGCTGAGACAGGTCAGTGGCTGACGGATTGGGGTGTATCTGTGAGCTCAGAATTGAGGTGCTGTGAGCGAGAGGACATCTCCTGCCAAGATACTGCTCCTGTCAGAGAAGAAAATTCCTCCTGCACCACAGGTCCTCGATTTCTCACAGGACATTCGGCTCCATGACCATCTAATGGGACCACCATCCCATACACGGTCTGTCGCTGACCAGTGTACACGAGGTGCATGACGGTCATTTGGAAACACACTGCCAGTATTTAACCATGTCTGACCCACGGAACCGACAATTTCACAGGAGACTGGAAGCTTGGCTCCAGGGCCAGACTGCAGGATAGAAACCATCGCTGTTAACTGATGTGACTGGTTGAATTATGCCCCACTCTCTGCCTTTCATATGCTGAAGTCCTAACCCCTGGTACCTCAGACTGTGAACTTATTTGGGTCTTCACAGAGATAATCAAGTTAAAATAAGGTCAGTAGGTGGGCCCTAATCCAACATGACAGGTGTCATCGTAGCAGGGGAAAACGGAGCAGAGACATGCATGGAGAGAGGACAGTGAGAACAGACACGGCGAGGAGACAGCTACCCACTAGCCCAGGGGACAGTCCTGAAAGAGATTCATCCCTCACAGCCTTGAGAGGGAACCAACCAACTCTGCTGATGGCCTGATTTTGGACTCCTAGAACTGTAACACAATTCATTTCTGTTGTTCACGTCGTCTGCACTATGTGACCTACAAAACTAACAGCCAGTATCATCTTAGGCAACTTACAGTCTCTGAGCCTCTATTGACTATCATCAAAAGTGGATCATAATAGTACCTACCCTCACAGGGTTGTTGTGAGTTTAATGTAAGTACAACAGTGCCCAACAGGCAACGAGTTCTCTATCCATATTAGCTATTAGTAGTCTCAGCTTTGGGTCAGGACTAGATTACCTTCAAAGAACACTGTATAGCAACTGAGAACAGCTGGGGAAGCTGAGAAGTTTAGGATCTCCCAAAGCTTCCAAAACTTTGAAGGTGGAATATGAAAGCATTCGAACCGGCCTGGAGTGCCCAAGGAGAGAGGCCATGACCGTGACGGAACACGCACACCCGTCTGCGCTGCCGCCTTCAGAGGCAGCCACAGGGCCCGGCGGGAAAGGCAGCACGGTCTATGGAGAATGGAGCGCTTCACAGAGCCGTGTAACTGTGGGCCTCATGCTTTCTTTTCCGTCCAGGCTCTGCTCTTGATGAACATGCACTGGTTTTCATGCGAATGATTTCAAAACTGGGACAATCACAATTTTTTTTCCCTTAAATTTCATGAGCGTTTCTGCTCAAAATAAAACCCAATTCCAATTGAATTAGTGATATAACCCAAACCATAGCTATGCAATTCTTGAGAGCCAGCATAAAACAAAAACTGCTTGCACATGAGAGACGCCAAGTCGCTAATCCCTGCTAACAACCAAGACCTTCTGCTGAACAACTCCAGGGGGCGCCATTCACACAGAATTCAGCTCCTGCGATGAGACACTACTTACGTGGCAGTCAGGAATGACACGCCCTGGAGCTGTGCAGCACAGCAATCCAGATAACACACACACGTAAAACTGAGTGTATCTTACACGGTAGCATATGTGTAATCAATATTAAAACAGAAGTTTTTCAAAAACTGGGAAGGCTCATTTATAAGACTTCATGATTGAATTTACTATGCGGCTATATTAAAGGAAAGGGCTTAATTCATAACAATAGCCAATACTGCAAAACAAAAATTTAACTGTATTCTAGAATTTGCTGATTGTAGGTCTTCTAAGTGTCGATCTCAGAACCCTTACAAAACTATACAGAATGATGACTACAATGTAATCACTCCTTACAATTAAGAATAAGCTCTCTGATCATTCCCAAATGAAGGGAGAAGAAAGAGTTTCCATAGAGACTTTGCATCTAAAGTTTTTATGTCTTGGATTTGCAAGTATATCAATCAAATAATATTTAATATAAAAAAACAAACTAGAAACATTCTCTGTTCAATCCATTTTCCATACTTCTAACTGGGTGTTTTCAAAAGCTTTCCCTGAAAGGCACTGATTTTGATGATGATTATTTTATTATAAGGCCTAGTATGATGAATGCTCTTTTGAATTGTCTATGAAATCCAGGGTTCCACTCGAAATCTGTAGGGGTCAAGTGTCACCTGAAAGAGATACGGTTGTGATGGATATTTTTAACATTTGCATGTTCCATCACTTCCAGGTTCTGCCCTCAAAGTTCACCAGGAATTTGGATATTGAGACCTTAAAGAACAAAGATAAACTTTCCATCCAAGCTGACCCCTCTCTTCCCTCATCATTGAACGGAAAAGGGTTTTCCTGGAAGTTAACAGGGAGAGACAAACCATCAGACAGTGAAGAACATTCAGAGATTGTAAAATGTTATAAAACTTAAGATAATTTATAGCTTACAAAGGTGGGTTCTTGTTCGAGTTTTTAAACAGTATACATAATTTCACACATATTCATTGGAAAACTAAAAAAGAAGGGAAAATCACCAGGAGAAGCAGGGACACTCAATAAGGTAAATTACTACTGAGTTCCGAAGCAGTCTTTCTGCCCTCCCCCCACAGGGGGTGCATTTCCCACACCCTGCCTGTGACTTTGGCCAGTGAAATGTTAGTGTGTGCGTCATGACCAAAGGGCAACTGGCAGGGCTTTTGTGCCTCTGCTACCCCAATGCACAGAGCAAGACTCTGCTTGCCCCCCTTTTCTAAAGAGGATGGGGTCCTGATGAAGCACAGCCACCTGGCTGGGACCCATCTGAATCAGCTGACTCCTGGAGAACCACAGACACACGAGCTAAATATGTCTACTGTTGTATGCCACTGGTGTTCTGTGATTGTTTGTTACCCAGCGTGTTTGTCGCAGACACTGACTGATACAGCCAATGGCTTACATTTACTAAGGTCTCTTCTTGGTTGACTGAGATGTGAAGCATTTGTGTTTAGCATAAGCTCTATTTCAGTCTAGGTAGAGAGAGCATCCACGCCAAGCCAGGGAACTAGGGGCCCAAGAATGTGTTCTTATTTGAGTGGTGTGTCGTCGGCACACTCATGGTAAAATGTACAGACACACAAATGCCAACATTTAGGGTAATCAAGAGATGGCACATACATGTGAATTTCCAGATTCTCTTGAAAAATGAGAAGATTCAGCAAGCCTGGCGGGGTCCTGCATTTGGGGGGAAGGGGATAACGTACCGCGCGGAGCAGTGGGCTGCCTCTCTTGAGACCGGGCGTGCGCTCTGTAGTTTATTCCCGTTCCTAACAGCTTCTAGCCCTGGAGGCTCTGCATCTCATTCACACAGCAGCTGGGCTGTTGACTTCTTCTTATAATAGTTAAGAGGACACATTTATTTTTTTCTTTCACAATGAGATCGTCACTAATTTACCCAATCTCATATTCTTAAAACTCACCAGGCCATGCCTGGCTGGTGTGGCTCAGTGGTTGAGCATCGACCCATGCACCAAGAGGTCGCCGGTTCGATTCCCAGTCAGAGCACATGCCCAGGTTGTGGGCCTGATCCCCAGTAGGGGGCATACAGGAGGCAGCCAATCAATGTTCTCTCTCATCAATATTTCTATCTCCCTCTCCCTCTCCCTTTCCCTTCCTCTCTGTCTCTAACATCAATAAAGAAAAAAAAAACATTAAAAAACACAAAACTCATCAGGCCATTGACATAGCATGGAAGATGTTTGTTTTTGACATCACGCTCTCTGGCGTTTAATCCCTCAGGACTACCATTTCCCGTGGTTTTGGACTCGCTCCCATGAACCACGATGTCCCTGTATTTAGAGAAGGCTATGTTGCAGAGGTTGAATGGCATCTCGGGAGTTTTTGCCAGAATTCCTCACGGATTCCAGTGTAATTTCTTTTTCTCAGTGCCAATTAAAAAAGTGTTACAGCGGAAGGAGGCAAATTATTTTTCGAGTAACACAAGTGCCTTAATTTTTAATTACGAAACTAGGAAACATTTCTGGTCAGTTTTGGCCATTTTTTCTGTGGGATGCAAACACGAGAGGACGTGTCCGTTTGCAGGCCGGGCACAGCCAGAGTGCAGTCCGTTTGGAAAATGCGACATGCTTTTCCCATTACCTGGGAAGCACGTGGTCAGGTGCTCCATCAGTGCTTCTTGGGTGACAGGTTTTCGTGCCGAGTTCATTGCTGAGATGGCCAAGCAAAGGATTTCCCCGAGTGGAATAAACTGAGATTGACTGATGGGAGACATACTGATTGGTGATACATCACCTGCAGAAAGACAATTTTCAAGTGAGCAGTTCATTAAAAGGCCCAGCCATCTGTCACACACATACCTCACACATACACGCCCCTCCCGTGACTGTCACCCAGTCCCTGTGTTATGAGTACGTGCAACTCCAGACACTGACGTCGTTCATACAAGTCCAGCCCACCCACTCGGGAGGAAAGACTTCCACAGAACAGCGGAAGCTCCAGTGGTCTCCACAAATAAAACCTGCCTTTAAAACCTGAACACTCACTTAAATAGACAGATACCGAAAGGCTGACGACAACGAGACTTGGAGAAACGATCTGTTTTTATTCAGTTGGAGCTGATTTATTTATGAAGTGCCATCTACATCTGGGCAGACGCATTTGTGGTAACGCGAGGATTCATTCATTCAAACAGTGAGTGCCCTTTAGGGTTAAGCATCTGCCGGGGGCTTGGGAATGTGAATAAGGCCCCTTCCTCAAAACATCTCTGCCCTTAAGGAGTTTCTACTCGAGAGGAGGAGACAGAGAAGTAGACCAAAGTTCAAGTGCACCAGACAAGGCTGAACACCAACTTCGGAGCAGAGAGGGGCTGTGGGGTGGGGCTGAGAAGCAGGGGAGGAGAGGTTGGCCGAGGACGTGCAGCCTGAATCCGGGGCTGAAGTCTGAGTGTGGCGGGGGCTGGGGGCTGGGGGCTGGGGGCTAGGGGCTGGGGGCTGGGCATGACTAAGGGGGTGGCAGTCCCACAGGTACGTAGGCATGGCCGAGGACAGAGCTGAGTGTTCAAAGCCTTCATCCCACGAGGGATGGTGAGCATAGAGGGGATCGAAGGAATGACAACAGATGTGAATGAGGGCAGATTACCTCCAGGCGGGGCTGTGGCCTCCTGCATACAAGAGCAGTGGAGGCCAGTAGCCAGGGGGCTGAGAAGGTGACAACATGCAATGCACAGCTTCATTCCTGCCATCTCTACATCACGGTGTGGCGATTTTCCAGGTCCGCTCTAGGAACTCCTAGCTCCCCACAGAGGGAGAGGCTGGGAGAGCCTGCGGCATCACGCGACACCTTCCCCAGAAGGTACCTGGGCCTGCTGGGGTGAACCAGCCTCTGCACTGTCAGCCCTTGGAGCCGGGCCCAGCGCAACCCCTAGTCTGATGGGACTCTCAAGTCCCTTTGGGAAAGAACTTGAACCCTACTTTGATGGACTGAATGGGTTTGATGGATGAAACCAGGCAACAGGGCCTAGGAATAAAAACCATCAGATGAGGGGGGTAGTCTAACAGGTGCACCAGACGAAGCAGCAGGGTCCCAGTGTCAAAGGCCTGAATGCCCCCCCTCCCAGCCAGCTCAGTTCAAGGCTCTCCTCTCCTGCATCCCTTGGGGCTCCAGTCAGCTCTGCTGCGGTGCCATTCTCTGCCACATAGGTATGGAGAGAATAAGACACTTTCCCTAAAACCAGGGAGAGCGAGAACTCAAATCCAAAGCGGGGTAAGGCCAGCAGAGATAAAAATCAGCAGCAACAAGGAACTGACCTGACTTAGAACCCACAAACCTCTGGGCCCGTGGGATGTAAGCATCATAAAGAGAAGGCCTCCGAGATCCCTGCAAATGTCTGATGGGGCGGCACTGGGTGCAGTCTGGAACCTGGAACCCAGGCTGTCACTGTGACATGAGTTTCACGCACTGGCTGGTGAAGCTCAGTCCATATCGGTGACTCAGAAATGACAGGATGATGTGGGCGGGGCACCTCAGTGGGAAGTGTGCTACTTCCTAGAACAGTAGATTTAAATCTTTAAAAAACTGTTCTACCCTTAAGTTCAAACAAAATCTTATTCTAAAGCCTAATGTGCAAACGATGAGCTGGCGGTGATGGTGAACGGCGGAGGTGGGAGTTCAGAGCTCCGTCTGTTCAGCTGTCCCCGCCCGTCGGGGGCCTGCAGCTCAGCTGCGGTCACTCCAGAGAGCTCTTCCGTCTCCCGCCACCGGCTCCAGGGAGGATGAGGACAATGAGGCCACTGCTGGGTTGGCCATCTGGACCTCAGAGTCGCCAGGAATGATTTCGTCAATCGGATGAAAAGGTGAGGTCAGCTGGCAAAGAGGGAGACCAGAGCACGCCCCGGCGCCTCCGCGCTGCCTGCCGTTTGGGAAGGTCATGCTTTCATGACCGAGGACGTCTCAGAAGGTCAGAAATACAACATCACTACATACGATGTTTTAAATGCAGCTCTACTTTCTGATTTTGTATAAGTTACAGGGAACTTGATCTCTTTGTTAAAAAAAAAAAAAGAAAGAACTATTAGCAAAATTAACTAGGTTCCGTGTGCCCTTATGCTTTTAGCTTAAATTATGTGTTCAGTGTCCATGCCATCTTCTAAGCGAATTTCTTTTCATTCGGTGTAGCCAGATAGAAGAGGCAGCAGCTCGAGGGTCTGAACTGCGTTTGCTTGGAGAAAGCTGTTCCACGATCATCGAGAACACGCGCAGTAAGTCTGAACTCGGGATACAGGACAAAATGGAGTTTGGAGGCTCTAAGCGACTATCTCTGTGTCACCTTGATTTTACACTGCGCTAAGAGAAGCCAATTTCCACCCCCGCCCCACAGGCAACCCTGTTTATGTCCAAATGCTGCCAGGGCCTCTTCCCTCTCTGCCCTTCTCCACACCACCCTCAGCTCCCCCCTGGCCCATCACGATGGCTGGAAGACCAGCATTCCCCGTCTTCACAGGGCAAGCAGGCCTTCTGAGGGAAGCACACAACACACCCCTTCCTGCATGAAATCCCACCACGACTGCCACCTGCGCTGGACGATCGGACCTCGGCCCACAGGGTCTGATGTCAGCCCACCGCTGGGACCGTCCGCCACCACTCACCACCTGGGGTCGGAGAACTGCTCGGCGGGATGGGCCTGGAACCAGACTCTTACCAAGCCGCTGTCTTCACTCTCTGCGCATCTGTGTGTCTGTGTGTCCTACTGTACTGTCTGTCTCACCCACGGGAACACGAGCTCCCTGACAGAAGGAAACAGGAGCCACGTTCCCACTACATTCCAGGGCCTAGAACAGGCAGAGCTGACACCCGACAAAAGTGTGTCGAATGAACGAATAGCCATTTACATCATCATCATCCAAGGAACTCCCCAGGGTATTCAAAGGATTGTGATTTTATTCCACATTTTGCTCAATAATTGGAAAACAAACAAAAATTAACAAAAGGCCAAATATATCTAATTTATATGCAATTTCTAAGACTCCCCCTGTTAATAATAATCCCCTAAACACAGCAGTTACCATAGAAAGATAATTATATACTAAGTGATGGTTTAGGACATACATTTGAGATCTGTACTACATAAGTTATAGGTATCTCTCAAACAATGTAACACATTATCCAAATGTACCATGATTTTCTTTGGATCTTATATCAGTCTTGCTTAATGAATCAACTAGTCATTGTTAAAATACACTGCTAGGAAATTCTTCTAACTGGCCCACATTTACGCTCAAAGAAAACAAGGGAATGTAAATACTTCTAAAACATTGTTGGTCATCATCATCTACAGAAACTACTACATTTTGCATAAACTATGAATTGCTGATTGTCTATAATTTATAGGATACATTTTTCTACTGTCAGAATTAGCTCTGAACACATTCATTAAGACAATTCATCTAAAAGCTCATAGCTACTTTGTAGGCTAACACATTCTTTCTTTTTTTTTTTTTATCCTCACCCGAGGACATTTTTCCATTTTTTGTTCAGATAAAGTGGGAGGGAAAGAGAGGAAGAGAGACAGAGAGAGAAAGAGAAAAAGAGAGAGAGAGAGAGAGAGAGAGAGAGAAAGAAACATCGACGTGAATGGGACACATTGAATGGCTGCCTCTCGCACAACCCAACCAGGACTGGGGACAAATGGCAACTGAGGTACATGCCCTTAGCGGGAACCGAACCCTGGTCTCTCTGGACCGCAGGCCGATGCTCTAACCACAGAGCCAAACCAGCTAGGGCACAAATTCTTTCTAAACTTTGAGAATTCTGCCCTATTGTTCTAACACGAAGGGGTAAATAGGTTGTATTTCAGCTTTATTTTCTTACAAACATCCATTTAGGTACAGTCCTCGGGGAACATTTGTCAAATCCAGGACGATTCAGATCAAACCAAGCACGGTGCCTTGGACAGAGTAAGCATTCAACAAATTTCTGGCAAGTGAATTCAAGACGTGAGAAGACATGAAAATGTTACCATGGTAAGTAAACGTCATTGCTTGGAAGAGCATTTAACATCAATTTAAAATACCTCAGTGAACACTTGGCTATTGCTCCCATCTAAGGTGCTAGTCGCTGAGAAGCATGAGGACCAAGAGACATGTGCCCGGTGGTGACGATGGGGTGGAGGAGGGAGACCTGGTGGAGGGGGGAGGGCGAGCCGAGCGTGAAGCAGCATGCTGGGCCTGGGAGCTGGGCAAAGCTTGGCGCTATGACGGCAGGCCGGTGGCGAGATGGAGAGGAAGGCAGAAGCCAGATCCTGCTTAGCTGAAGGCTTCAGTCTTATTCTTGGTGCTAACGAGGAACCACTGCATGTATTTATACAGAGGAATCACATGGCACAACTGTGTCAGAAATCACTGCTGTGCAACTGTAGAGAACAAACCGGCAACTGTTACAATCACCCAGGCAACTGACGGGAGGGTCTGGCCACTGGCAGAACTCAGGTGTATGCTCTCGTACTGTCTGCACCTGGTGACCTCCTCAGAATTAGCTTTTCACGCACACACGTTTTTACTATCTAAACCCCTCTCTCTATTCTCCCAGCCAACTTTAGGCCAGTTACTTTAGCTGGAATTATTTCCAAAAAATTCTCTCTCACATAATTAATTCATCCTTTCAAGAAATATATCTGAGTGCCCATTACATACCCAGTAACTTTAGGTACTCGGGTTCTAAATGATTCCTATCTTGGTTCTAGTTGGGGGGGAGAGGGGGATTCCACAAACCATACTGCAATAAAGTTGTGTCCTTTA